CAGGTATGGACACGCGGGAATGGCCGGGGGACCTGAGGGCCGGAGGGGGACCTGCGGGGAGGGGGACCTGCGGGGAGGGAGGACCTGAGGGCCGGAGGGGGGACCTGAGGGCCGGAGGGGGGACCTGAGGGCCGGAGGGGGACCTGAGGGGAGGGAGGACCTGAGGGCCGGAGGGGGGACCTGAGGGCCGGAGGGGGGACCTGAGGGCTGGAGACCTGAGTGTTGTGTGGGACCTGAGGGTTGAGGGGACCTGAAGGCCGGGGGGGGTGGTCCTGAGGGTCATGTGGGAACTGAGGGCCGGGCGGTTCTGAGGGTCCTGGGGGACCTGAGGGCCGTGGTAGTGTGGAGTCCTGAGTAGGTGGGCACATGGGGGTTGTGGGGGCCTGGTTACTTTGGGACCTGGGTAGCTGGGGATCTGGGGACCTGGTGTCTTCATATGGGAGTCGTTGAGGAAAGGAATTGGGCCGTTTGATGCCGGACCCTGATAACCTGGCTGTTAGAACAAGGTGATTCTGTTCTACCACCTGTTTCTGCCACTGGCCCCTTTCTGTCCTAATAAAATGCTCAGAGGGACACAGCAGCCGGTGAGTTCAGTGAATTTTAGCCATCAATCTAAGGCTCCCAGGGAAGGGCTGAGAACTTGACTCAAAGCTGTTGTCAGCAAGTACTGGTGGCTCGTACCTATAATCCTGGCTACTCAGGAGGCTGATATGGGTCTTGCAGTTTGGAGACAGCCCAAGAAAACAGTCTATGCAACTCCAGTTTACCTGCAAAAAGTTGGAACTAGAGGCATATTGTATAGCTTCAGCCATTAGTGAAAAGCCAAGTAAGAGGAGAGGATAAGGCCCTGAGTGCCAGCCCACACACATATCAGGACTGAGTGGCCCGAAGGGAAGGAAAATCTGGAAGTACTGTGGAAGAAGGAGGGCTGAAAAGCCTGAGGGGAGCCTGAAGAGACTCTGGGCAGGGTGGAACAACTGAGGGGCCAGATGAGTACAGAAAGGGACCCTAGGCCATCTACTTGCTCCCTGGCTCCAGACTGCAAGAGACATGGGGACTGAGGCCACAAGTCAACCAGGACAAGGAAGTCAGAGGATACCACTAGGACCAGCCCAACGGAGGCACTGTCTTTGTGTGCAGGGGTCTGTGCTGGGCCTGAGGCTTGGTGGTACAACAGGTCCAGATTTCTTGGGAAGTGTTGGGCTCCAGACCATATCATTCTGCATTCAGTTCTGATCCACATGTCCACTGTGGTGCCAACAGCACCTGGTTCTGCCAGGGAATACAGATGAGTTAGTGCCCTGACTGCCTTCCGGACATAAAGACACAAACGCGTACAGGGAATACAGATGAGTTAGTGCCCTGACTGCTTTCCGGACATAAAGACACAAACGCGTACAGGGAGTACAGATGAGTTAGTGCCCTGACTGCCTTCCGGACATAAAGACACAAACGCGTACAGGGCAACAGAAGCCGGTACAAAATGACAGAGTAGCAGAAGAGATAGTTGGGGCTTGGCCTGGGCAGAGGTAGAGGTTAAGGAGTAGGTTTGTAGACGTGACAGTTTTGGCATTGCCTCAGACTGACATTTGTCTCCTGTTTCAGGGAGTCTCACTGTGGCCTTGAGGCCAGTGGGGTGACGAGCATGGGTCCTGTGCACACCCTGCCCAGCACCTCTCTCCAGAAGGTGGAGGAACAGCCAGAGGATGTGGACAACCAGCGGAATGTCACTCGAATGGGCAGTCAACCCTCAGACCCTAGCACAACTGTGCACATCCCAGTGACAATGACAGGACCTCCTGGGGAGACTGCAGTGGCTCCCAGTGAGTATCTTCCTGTTCCAGTGGCACAGGCCCAGCTATACCATCTCTATGGCTCCATGCAGCTGCTGGGGACCCAGCTTGTCTCTATGAATTGTGCTCCCAGCTGAAAAGAAAGTCCTTTGCTGTGAGCATTTGTCCCTTGGTGTCTCTTTGCCTTCTGTTGACCCAGAGGCAACTGTAGGTTAAGCTCCATTTAACACACACACACGCACACGCACACACACACACATGGCTTTCAAGTGTCTTTGAGTTTCTAGCTACTTCCAGGCTGGGTGGGAGAGGACTGAAAATACAGTGGAGAGGGCCAATCTTGCCAGAAAGACAGACACAGATGCAAAATGACATTACCCTTTATGGTTGAACAAAAGCTGCTAAAAACTGTGGCCACGGTCTTAACTGGGACTGAGAGCTTGTAGGGGGAGAGGTAGATCTCATAGCTTTCTCCCACCTGCTTATGTGTCCTTTTCCCAAGCTGCCTTCTTTCTTTCCACATGGGGAGATAAACCTGAGGGAGCAGGCAGTAAGGGCAAGGTGAACAAGCTGTATAGTAGGCAAAGGCTGCAAGTGACTAATGTGGCTCTCCTGTAGTAGGGAAAGTGTGTGAACACAGAGACTCTATAGAGAAAACATTCCAGGAGGGATAGGATGGACCTCACAGAAGGCCAGAAAGCACCGAGTTCAGGAGGAAACTGGCCAGCTTGATCAGGTGCCCTGCACATATATCCCTGTTTGCAGATGTTGTTACACCATATGCATTCACATACCTTTCCTTCGTGTACTTCATCTCTCACTGGGACCCCAACCCAGGCACAGTCCCAGGTGGACCAGGATGGTGGTGGCTGTGGCTGCTCACTCACTCTTCCCTTACTCTCAGTTTCCTCAAAAGAAAGATGATCCTGGTCCATTCTTGTTTCATTTTTCTTGGGCACAAGGAGTCTGTTTTTCCAGCTTCCTCTGATTCTCTCTGGATTTGCCTGTATTTTGTTCACAAGAGACCTTTGTTCCCTCAGCCCCTCATCCTTGCTGGCAACCACTCATATTTTAACTGCTTCTAATTTTGCCTTTTCCAGAAACGACCTTTTCAGGGTGGGTCTTTCACTTAGCATATCACTTACTCCATGTCATTAAGTTGCTTCATCAGCCATTCCTTTTCAGTACTAGATTACACGGTTATACAGATGGACCAAAGTCCACTCACCTAGTGAAGGACATTGTTATTGCTTCCATTTTTGGCAATTATAAATAGATATTCATGTTCAGGTGGTTTTTTTTTTGTTGTTGTTGTTGGTTTGTTTTTGGTCCTTGGGCTTGAACTCTGTACCTGGGCGCCGTCCCTGAGCTCTTCAGCTCAAGACTAGTGCTCTACCATTTGAGCCACAGAGACACTTCTGGTTTTCTGGTAGTTAATTGGAGATAAGAGTCATGGACTTTTCTGCCTGGGCTGGCTTTGAACTGCAGTCCTCAGATCTCAGCCTCCTGATTAGCTAGGATTACAGGCGTGAGCCACTGGTGTCCGGCGTGTTCAGGTTTTTTTGTGATCTGTTTACAACTAATTTGGGAAGTGAAAACTTGAGTCTGGCATCTTAGACCACTTGGCCATGCTGACATATTCTTTTTTTTTTTTTGGCAGTCATGGGGCTTGAACTCTGGGTGGGGGTGCTGTCCCTGAGCTCTTCAGCTCAAAGCAAGCACTATACCACTTGAGCCACAGCACCACTTCCGGCTTTTTCTGTTTATGTGGTACTGAGGAATTGAACCCAGGGCTTCATGCACGCGAGGCAAGCACTGTACCACTGAGCCACATTCTTAGCCCTGCTGACATGTTCTATAGCTAGTTTGAGTAAACACTTGAGTGGTTGGTTATATGGTCAGATTCTCAAATTCCACCCGCCCCCTCCGTCATCCCTCATGGGGCTTGAACTCTGGGCCTGGGCCTGGGCACTGTTCCTCAGCTCTTTAGCTCAAGGCTAGCACTCTACCACTTGAGTCACAGCACCACTTGTGGTTTTCTGGTGGTTTATTGGAGATAAAAGTCTCACAGACTTTCCTGCTTGGGCTAGCTTTGAACCACAATCCTCAGATCTTAGCCTCCTGAATAGCTAGGATTA